AAATGCATTACCTTTGTTTTTCTCATTGATTTTTTTTTCTATTTTATTGTTTTTGGTTCATTAAGCACTGCCTAGCACATTATTTGTGTGACTATGTGATTCACTGTGTATTGTTTGGTCAGGTGGCTCATGTGATTACTGACAGAGTTGGATACCTGCCTAAGTGTCTGGTTGGAAGGCACCAAAACAGGACACAATATGAGACCTGTTTTAAAATTGTAGGCATTTGTCATTAAAGATTTGATTTTATCTTTACAAGATTGTACTTGTGACTGGGATTATGCCATTTACTAATGCTTCAGTGCCAGGAGTTTTCTTTTGTGAAGGGTGAATTCATGATAATTTCCTGGAGGTTTGCATTAAAAGAAATCAGCATCACTGGGAAGAAAACACTTTTTGCTCAGAGCACACTGTTCATAATGTGACCACAGACATTTTCTAAAAGACTCTTTAATAGTAAGCCTTGACCTACTTGATAGTAGTTTTGCATTTTTTAGTTACCTTTTGCAGTCATTCATGGAATTTACAAATCACTGGTTGAAAGCAGCTATGGTACTACTGGCTCTTAAGGGGGAGAAAAAAACCTGTGTGGAGAGGGATTGTGGAATTATGGGACAACAGTTGTGAATTCGAAAGTCCAGACCTACTGCCTTGCCCAGATATAGGGACACCACTGATGAGGCAGTAAAATCTTGCTTGATGGTGGGCAGTGGCTTTGCTGTACATTTGCAGGTGGGAACGTATGCTTTGCCCATAGGTTTATGTCACTCTTGAACTGACTTTTAGGTCCTGTAGATCTCTCAGCTCCAGGCTAGATGGGAGGCCCTTACGTGCCCAGACATAGGGTGATATGTGTTGACAGCTATTGAGAATGCTGTGGTTTCCTGCTGGACCCCTCTGTGATGGGCTGCCTTGAATTGTGGCAGCTGTCTTGCCTCTGCACGAGACTGTGGTTCCTGCTACCCAGTTCATTCTTGCAGGAGTTTGAAACACAATTCCCTGCCTAAAAACTGGTAGAACAGCACCATTCATTGTGGTGCAGTGCCACATCCTGAAACTGATGGGTCAAATGCTTAGAAATCGCACAATTAACTGGAAGAGTGGAGGTTTCTTCTAAATGGAGTGAAGTTTTCTTGGTAGAGATAGAGGTTTTAGGTTTTAATGTTCGTGGTTTTTTTGTTTTTGGTTTTTTTTTGTTTGGTTTGGGTTTTGTTTGTTTGGGTTTTTTGTTTTTTGGGTTTTTTTAATGAAGAAATGACTCAAGAAGCAAGAGCCGGGAATCATCCTGTGCATGTATCCATGTAGGTAGCTTCAATAAGGACAACCAGGGATAACTACAAAAGAAAAATTAATGAAACTTGAATTTTGATTTATTAGTGTCAAACTATTTCTTGCAACATGGAAAGGGGAAAATATTTAAAATCAGTCATTAGGTAAATACTAGTATGGGATCAGTGATTTTAAGAGACCTTTTTAGTGTGTGCCAGATGTGAATTGTGGTCTTGTGTTCACATTTTTCTCATGTAAAGACTTTTTTTCCATGTCACTAGAAGTATGGAGAAGGTGTAAATGGAAGATTATTAGCCTTTGCACAACAGAAGGCAATGGAATTTTCTAGAATGATTTTTTTCTATGAAGTTACAAATTAATATTTGTGTTGCTATTTTGTAGAATAGCATAAAATAAGTTATCTTATTTTGGTTGTAAAATGCCTGTCTCAAAGTTCCTAAGAGTCAGTCTACATGCTTACTTTAAGAAAAAATAAACAAGAATGAGAAAAAAGTGAATTAACTTGGCTTAGAGTCAAAGCCTTGTTAAGATAAGTGGCAGGATGGAGACAAAAAATTGGAGGGAGAAGAAAGTAAAGAATATAATTAAAAAGTTATTTTCTCTTCTTGCCAGTTACCTGCCTTCTTTTGTTATTCATATACACTTGTTGAAATTGCATGCAAATGATTGATTGACTCAGCAAACTCATTGTAATAAATTATGTTTGATGTGCTATCTTGAAAAAAATCTTTTGAAATTCTGTCTCTTTTCTTTGTCTACTGACCTTGTGGCTTTTAATATCTTGTTTCCCATCTGTCTGATTCCATCATAAGCTGAGCATAACTTTTCAGACCTTAATGCAGCTCTCTTTTTGCTCTGGTTTAAGTAAGTCTGTAACACAAATATGTGATTTGGCCATCAACAGTAATATTAGAAAGGAATGTTGAAATATGTGTTCCCTTTATTGATGTGAAATAAAGAAACACTTATCTGTAGATATTTGATAATACATATTTACAGTGCATAGGTCTGTCTCTGCAAGCAAATGAATACAGAGATGTCTGTATCGTTGTATTACATCTGCTTTAATGTTACAAGTTCAAAGGTTACTTTTAAGGATTAATTCTTAATTAAAGGAGAAAAGAAGTGGGTCTATAGAGTTTCAGGAAAGCAATTTTAAATATAGATTTAAAAATACTTAGCTGAATATGTCATACAGATGTACCTAAACTGCAATTTTAGAGATTGATTGTTTTATAGATATTTCTGCTGCAAGAACTGTCTGTAGCAGTGAGGTCCTGAGTCTTGAATTACAGTGGAATTTGAAGAAGTAGACTTACATTGTTAAAAACCTTTTTTTTTCTAAGGATATTATGTCAGTTGAAATGTTCGGTTGGGATGTCTTTTTTGTACTTATAGGTCAGCAGTTTGCTTAACAACTGTAAGGTATAGGTAGATAAATTCTTTGTGTTCTTTATAAAGGACATAAATTGTTTATGCTGAAAGGTTTTTCTGGATAGTGCCTTTTTAGTGGGACTAAATCTTTGGAGAGACCAAAGAGAATGAAGTGAGCCAGGAAGAGAGAGAAGGAAAAAGCATGGTAGTCCTAGGAATGTCTATAACAGTTAATTGGGACAGTAGAAACAGAATCGTGTTTTAAGTTTGCTGAACTTGTCAGAAAGTTATTATAAATGGGCCAAAAAGCCTTAGAGTTCACTCACCTAAGTGTATTCCTACGTGAAACACAAAACACTGAAATGTTTACTTTGATGTGGTCTACATAAGTTTATTTGTTTAGTGATAATACTGTGACTACTACTAATAATTATTTTTGGCTGGCTAATTTGACTATGAACAAGATACCCAACTCAGAGAAGTAAGTCAAAGGGAGTCAAAAGACTTAATGATTTATTGAAAAAACAATAATAAGTAAACCAGTGTCATACGCTACATAGGCATGTGCATTCAAGCAAGTGATCAGTACATTGACTGCAATGGAATTATTCTTCATACTAAGTAGCAAGTTGAACTGAGACCTTGATATAGTCTAAGCAACTGTTAGTCCCAAAATTGCTATCTTCATAATCACAGTGTGTTTCATTCTATATTGCTGAGGAAATCTGTATTGCAGACCAGAGGAAAAAGTTCTTTCTACGTATGCCCAGATCCATTTCCTTAACTGCAGAGATTTTCTTGGGGACCAAAGGAGAGACTAGATATTGTTCAACATTTTAGCTGAATAAAGTGAGAATGGGCTATAACAAGCTGCAGTGAAAATCAGCTACAAAGTGTTTTTCAACACTACTTAGTAATAAGGAATTTTATTTGTAGTTAGTATGTCTATATATATATAACTTTTGTCAGCGGTGAAGCTCTATTTTGCTCTATATATTCCTAGGTTTTTTGATGTACAGAATCACTGCATCTATGATTTACAGTTAAATGTTTGCTTTAAATGTGAGAGTGACACATTCAAATTGCCTTGTTAGAATATATGGAGAAAGAAGAAGAAGAAAATGAAATGACATTCTTTTTTTCTAGAAATTCTGATATAATTCACTTATTGGAATATGAATAGTGGACTCTGAATTAATTACTACATGATTTGGTTTAGATTAGACTGACTGGTAGGCACAAAATAGTGTAAATACTTTGATCATCATAGCAAATTTCTTCCATCTAGAGGAAAAATATGGAGAAAATAATATTTTTGGAAAAAAATGGTCACATGGCCTACTGTTTAGACAAGCACTTGCATTTACTGGTTAACAGTATAAAGCTACTAGTTAACAGAATAAAATAAGTATATTGTGTCTGGTGAATTAGTGATAATGATGCATGGTAACTAATGCTTTATTGTGTTACTTGGCTTCAGATATAGTTGCACACTGTATTCTCTCAAAGAATTAAGAATAAAGAATCTGGCATTGATTATAACAGAACCACTGATTTTCATGCATTACTGCATTACATAAATGTTCACTTCTTTTTCCTAAAATATAATCATACTTACAAGATATATATTAAACTCCTCAAATTCTGGTTACTAAATTAGCATGCCATGTTTTCCCTAAAGTTAATATTTTTCTCGTTTTGCTGTCTGACTAATAACTTGATAAACCTCTCCTTATCTTTTAATGACAGATGACTTATTAAGGGCTACCACTTAATTATATTGCAGAACATGTGGGGAGCTGAAGAATTCAGAAGTATTTTCCGTAGCTTGGACATGTAAAATGAGAAGCATAGGAGAAAACAAAAAGATAATCTTGTAACTGAGAAAAAGCCTTTGTGATTTAAGCATGAGATTGAGGTTCAGGAAATAGTGAGTTCTGTCCCACAAATCCATCGTGCTTTGCACTAGACTATGGACAAGACACTGATTTTTATTTTGCTGCAGTTGACCATTCTGCCAAATATTTAGGGTGATACTGTCTTATCTCATAGGGTAGTTTAATACTATATGTGTCTAGCATTACTAGTGTTACAGGGAATGTACTAATTTTTGAGTTTATTGAGTTGTACTGAAACAAGCACTTCCATGATATAGTCGTAGCCTGAATTTTTCAATATTAAAAAGTGTACATAATATATAATATTTAAAGGATACTTTTGTGACATAAATATTTTAACTTATGTATCTAAAGCACATAGAAATAGATAGTAATCTCAGAGAAGCTTTCAATGAAGTTTCAGCTTTCCTGAATACTATACTTTTTCTCCATTTCTAGGTTGCATGTCTCACTCATGTAGCAGCTAATTACCTTAATTGCAAAATTGAACCAAGACGCTGGGGTACTGCTCATGGGAGTATTGTTCCATATCAGGTAAGCAGAAAGCATTAGGGTTTTTTTTCTCTTGGAATTCATTATTTTGTGTATTATGAGATTAAGAATTGACTTTTCCCATAACTTGCTGTAGTCTGTAATGTATCTTTGTCTAGGTACGACAAGGTTCTGTTGTTCATTGTCATTTCTGCATTTTCTGTGTTTCTTCATCTGCAGTAGATTAGTAACAGAACACTGAAATAGATCAAAGGTGTTTGCTGAAACTGGATGACTTTAAAGCTAGGGTGATGGCTTGATTGGTTTTCACCTGACACAGAAACCTTTTTTTTAAGGTCTGCCTGACTTCCATGCCAGTTATAAACTGAAATCTTTTCCCTCTGAATTTTGTGAGACTACAAGGTTTTATCTTGTGAGTCTTAAAGAGCAGTCTGAATGACCAAGATAATCTGTCACTTCTACATATTTGTCATTTTCTATTGATTTTGCTACAAATCACTGCCTCAGTGAGACAACAGGTTGACAAAAGGAATTAACCAGACCTCAGATCTCCTCAGCAGAATTCATACTCTGCTACATCTAATGAAGGGTTGAAATTCCTTAAAATAACATGACCTTTATCATATAAACAAGCACAGGAAAAAAAAAAAACTAACTTCAAATTTTATACTACTTTTGGGCAGTACAGGAAACTCTTCCAATAAACAAAAACTTTGTTCTTTTCTAGCTGTTCGTTTTGTGTTCATGATGGAGATCATGCTAACTTATGGAGACTTGGGCATATATTTAATTCTGAAAAATCTATTTTTTATTTAATATTTTTTTTGTCATGTTTGCGACTAGGTAGGCAGAGCCTATATTTCTCAATTTCTGGCCAGAGACCTTTAAGTCCCCAGAGGGGAAGTTTCCAGCATTTGTCTGGGAGAACTGCACTGCTGAGTTTCTTTACCATCTCCTTTCTTTTTAGAGAAAGTGAGGGAAATTCAATGTATTGTCCTCCCAGTGGTGAAGGTGGTGGTGATCATAACTGAAATATTTCCTGCTTGTGGCCATATATACTCTGAAGCAAAAATTTTCTGTCATTGTGTAGAACACTATCACTAGTTAGTGTCACAGCCAGCCCTCCTCAGGTTTAACACCAAAATGAGTTGTTTTTGTAAGAACTACTTGATCTAGGAGACTGTTTCTAGTGCTTACCACTGCATAATCAACTGTCTTGTTAAGAATTATCTGCAACAGATTGCAAATGTTCTCAGAGCAATGGGGAGATGGTGTGGCTCTTCCTGAAAGAATGAGTTTGGTCCTGCAGTATTCTTGTCTCAAGTGTAGTGGAGCACAGAAGTGACTGTGCTCCCCTCTGGGTGTTATGGTGTGGCAGCATGACTGTGTTTTCTAGAGCCAGCTCTGCATGACCCAATGTAACCAAGAAACAAGCAGTTGCATTCTGCTGTGTTTCTGTGATGCGACCTTTTGGTGCAAACCTTTTTGAACTTTGGTATGTTGAAAGTATAAAACAGATCTGAAGTGTCCAAAGTTTGCATAAGCAAACCCAAAAACCTGACTAAACAAAACATTTTGTCTTCACCATACTGCATTTGGCTGAATAACTGAAACTTGCATTCTTTTATGTCCTTTTGGCCTTTGATTTTCCACAGTCATTATTACATTCATTGAGTATCCTTTCTTTTTTTCATAGAAAGTTCTCAAGGTATAAAAAATTTGAGGAGATTGATTTAGATGTCTTCTGATTTAATCTAGATGAGTCATTATGTAAATAACGATTTTTTTTAAAAAAATACCCTGTCTAAACTATGGTTCCTGTTTTTCTGTATGCTGTTTCTGTAGTAGGTATTAGAAATATTACCTCAATATTATAAACCATTTTAATCTGAATTTTTTTGTTCATAAACCAGTAATTAGGGTGGATTTACTATGGGTGGAGTTGTGTGTGTGTGTTTATGGCTTGTCTGTTAGCATTCCATCAACTAGCATGGTTGTAATTCTGACTGTAACCATAAGAATATTATGGTTTCTAGTGGTGGTTTTTTTCCCTTTACTAACATAAGCTATACTTAGATTCCAAAGCTCTTCATAAAACTTGAGTTAATCCTCACTGTTGCTATTGTACTACTTTTATAGTTTCTGCTGTAGCTCATTTGTAATAAAGTTTAGAACAAAACTCTGAAACCTGACTTTCATTCCTCATCCTAGTTATCGAATATAGTCTTTTGCTTACTAAACACTGTGACTATCACAATGCTAATTTTTACAATTTTTTGTTTCAAGATATTTTATACAAGTGAATTACAATGTATTCAAATAATGAAAAACATTTTAGAAAATTTTTTGTATATTTCTATATATTTCAGAACAAGTAGGTTGTAGCAAACTGCTACAGAGTTGGTTTTTTTTTTTCTTTTCCTAATGTCCTTAACTTTATTTTGTTTTCCTTTACTGTATTTTGAATTTTTACACAAGTAATAAATTATGAAGTGATACAGAGCCTGCAATCCTTCTAAAAAGTGTCCAGTTTTGTTAAATCATGACATATCAGGTAAACATGAGGTCCTCTTATAGATATTAAAAAGGAAAAATTAAAATAACTGAACATCATCTTTCAGTGTGACAGATGTCTTATCAGTCACACTAGAGTTCTGACCAAAATAATAAAAAAATATTAAAAGCACCCTAAATATGTACATAAATAGTACTTTTTTTTTTTACAATTGTTACAGTAATTGTTCTAGTGCTCTACTGAACACATTTAGCAGTGTATATTGAATGTAGCTTTTATTTCATTAAGCTTAACTTAAATAATTTTGTTCCATATATCTTTGCAAATGTCTTTATTTTTTTCTGCTTACAAGGTCAAATTTACCTTTGACTATATCTTTTATTTCACTGGATTTACCTATTGCTTCTTGACTGAAAAACTAGCAGCATAATTTGTTCCTGAATGCATTCTCTAGATTGACTTTTAGTACTTTTCCTTGCATTTAAAAACATGAAAATTGAGCATTAATGGGCAGATGGATTTTCTTCTTCCTGTAACTAATAAGATGCATAACAAAATCTATTTCTGCTCTGGTCTGAGTTAAGTTTGGTGTGCAAGGACTTTCATACTCTTTTAAGGTTTTTCTCATTTGCTGATAATGTGCTGTCTTTGTGGCACGATCAGCTGAAATGTCTGAGTTTTCAGTTTTGCGTGTTCATCACCAGAACCCAAAGGAAAGGATTTGAACTGCTTTTGGGTGTACAATGTCTTCCAGGGTTCCAGTAAAGCTGTCTGCAAAAGTTTGCCGTAGATTTTCCATGGAGGTGAACTTTGCAATGTGCCACAAAGATGAAGTACTCTAGATTCTTATCAATCAAAATCAGAAATAGTTTATTGAATCCTGAAACCTTCATGAGAAATTATCTACTTGGAGATTATCTGCTGTTTAATCAGAGCAATGTAGTTTGAATAGGTCACTCTTATGATAGTGCTTGTGATCAGATCCCAGTTTGCTTGGTTTCAAGTGTTTAAACACAAACCTTGAGTTCTGGGGTGTATCTTAGATGTAATTAGTAAAATTTTTCAAAACCAGTTTCTGCAGTGAGACACCTTGTTTAGCAACAGCTGCTCCATGATTATCTAGAGTTAAAAAAACATCCGGTTTATGTAATTGTGCTGAAAAGTAAAATTGTCTTCCTGTCTTTCATTTGGGGTGATAAAGTCTTCCCTCATTCTAGTGGTTTCAGCAATGTAGCTTTCTTGTCTGTAGCAAGCATCAGATCTGGACAATCCCATTTTCTGCTTTCAATTGGCTAACTTGGAACGGATATTCATTCTCCCAAGAAAGTGTGTCTAACCTGAATGTTTACAGGATGTTTCCAGTGGCAGCTTATCACCCTGCCATCAGACACCTGAGCAACTGGGCAGCACTTTCAGAGGCAAACTTTCAGAGAAAGGTATAGGGCTGTTTTCTCTTGGGCCGTAATGATGGAAGTCTATTTAAAAGCTGAGAAACCAAGCTCAAACAGATACCTAATGAAAATGATATTATTTGTGTTCCAGATTTGGTCCTAAGACTCACAAGGTTTTCTCAAGTATACTTTAGTATATTTTCATAATGTGCAAAGAGAACAACGACTCTGAATGGAAGTTGAAAACATGAGACATTAAAGAAACTATTATTTTAACCACTTGCCTTTTCTGTTGACTGACCTATGCATTGTCATAATTCATCAGACCCAACACTAATGTTTTTGTATTAGAGCATCACTTAGATTCTTTAAGCATCAACTTTCTTTTGTGCTAGGCATAAAATTTCCTTCATATGAGGAAACTGTCTTGGTTTCAAAGGCATTGAAATGTGTTATGAAAACCGAAGCATAAGCTCACAAGGAAGTGAAAGGTATGAGGTATTAGGAAGATTAAGATTGTCAAAGATACAAATATCTCTGCATTATTTTTATCGTGTGCATCTCATACTTTTTGGTCATGGAATTTTATACTGTCCAGGAGTCTTACAAAGAAAATCCCACTTGTGTCACTTGTGCCTCATCACAGGAACAGAGAAATGCAATAAGTTATTAGTTACCTGATTCATCTGGCAGAGATTCTTTTCACACAAAGGCACAGTGTGCACCAAGTTTTCTAACTCAGCTCTGGAGAATCTCTCAGAATTTTTAATCTCCTTTTTTTTTTTTCTTCCAGTGGAGAGGACAACAGAATAATGTCAATCATTTAGAAATTTCAAATTGCTTATTCCATGCAAGAAGCGTGATGTGTAGTCATTTTCTTGTCTGTCCTTCTGTGATTTTATTGGACACTTCGGCAGTCTTGGAATCAAAAGCAACAAAGAATAGAATTTGGATTATTTGCAAAGTTTTATTTTGTGGATGAAACTCACCTTAAATAAATCCAAACTAGAAGAAAATCTTTTTGCTCTGTACTAGCCTGGTGTAAGAGAAGATGTAACCTATGCGCAGGAAAGAAATAAAATACAGATTTTTTTTGAGGGGGGCAAGTTTTAAATTAAGGCAATGCAAGATGACCC